TAGTCTTCACAGCTCACCTTTTTACAGTTTATTGAATCAAAATGCTCCAGTTTATGCTTAGACATTATATCCAAAACTTGAGGATAACTCTGGCCAATTTAATTCCAGGTAGAGGCTATTATGTTTCAAACGTGCTTGATTAGCAATCTCAGTCAATCCTACATCAATCAAAGCAATGCCACCAGGCATTTATGGTGACAGAATAAATTAAGCGAGTTATTTTCATAAGTATTACAAAAATGTAATGTGTGAAATGTAACTTAACACAGAAAATTTTAGATGTCTTTTAAAATCTAAACACATAAGGAGTGTAGTTAAAACACAATGTAAACTAAATTAAAAGTAGGCTATTTATAGAGCTCCTGTATAGTGTGTCAGTTGAGGGCTTTCAGGGGAGCTGAACTCTGTCTAGCTCCCCCGTAATTCCAACCCTGTGTATACTGCAGTGTTAGTGCTGTGTTGAATTTGTATAAACAAACTAAATAAACAATTCATAATAGTCACTTTTAAATAATTTTGTTAAAATCTTTGTGACAGGTCTTTTCCTGGTATTTTCTCAAGAGGAAAGGGAAAAAGGCGGTTCCCTGTTACATCTCTCGTGCCTGCTAAGAAGCCTAAACCTCTTGAAGTGGTATTTTATTTGCTCCCAAAACAAATGGAGAAGACCCCAAATGAACATGAAAAATATATCCACACACAGGCAGGGATGGGTCAAAGAACAGCACATCTTGATGAGAGCACAACACATGAAGAGGTATAAACTTATTCTTTTTATTCACTGATCAAAACTGAAGTTTTCGCTTAATGAAAGTGTTATTGAATGTGACCATCACTGCAAATCACAGGTGGCATTTACAAAAAATATTAGTATTGGATATTCATCATTAATCATGAAAATTGAACTGTAAAGTTTGGATTGAAAAATATATTTTTTATTACATCCAGTTTGCACTGTAAATGCATGGTTCTTTTATCGTTTCTTAGTTTATACAGGGGTATAATTAATGTTAAATGTGTCATTTCTGTAGACTCATAGATTGTATTTGTATTATTGCTTTCAGTTAAAGGATGCCCTGAATGATTTGTTTCCCAAACTGAAGGAGGTAACAGGTGGCTGGCTGCTATTCAAACCTGGGGGTGTGTATGAATTCTGCACTGTGTTAGGATGCATTGTCTAAATTAAACTAGGAACTGATCCTGCTGTTTAATAAGTATTTTTAGGACAAGTTCTGTTTCACTGCATGTTGTGAATTCCTAATTCTGAGTAGTTTTGAAGATACTTTTTTTTTTTTTTTTTAACTTGAGGCATTGGATATATTTCATGATCAGAATAATCGGCTTCAATTTGCTTTTATTCAGGTGGTTGGGGAAGCCGAAAACTCTCTCTGGTTCCTCCAGCTGATATTGGCTATACAGGGACAATCCTAAAGGCTGCCAGTCGTGGGGGTAAAAACGTATATATTGCTCCTATTCAAGAGGAACTTGGCAATGGCCCGGTACCACTAAGCGATGAGTCCTTCAGATGCATGCCAAAAGCAAAATGCCAGAAGTGTGGCATAGGTGTTCCACTGCAACTTCTGTCAGAACACCTAAAATCCTGTCCTCCTTTGGAAACTCCCAGTGAAAGTACTATGGTGAATTTAGATGGTGATGAACCTACAGAGAAGGAATGTAGGTTTTTTGACAATTTCATACTAACATATTACCCAAAAGCATAAAGTGTTAAGAGCTAGCTAGAAGGAAAAATGAAGTGTTATAAAATAAACTTTGTCCTTTCAAATTTATTTCACAACAGCACCATTGCCGCAGTGTCCTGTCTGCACAGATATGTTTCCCTCTGACATCATTGAGCTGCATGCCTCTTCATGTGGAGAAAGGTATTTAGCAACAAATTGCAATTTTTATTGTCATTGGATTTAAGCCTTGACTGGAATTTCACAACATATTTTGATAGTAGCTCACGAAATGAAAAGGGGCATGAAGATACAGTAATTGAGGAAGGGCTAGCAGATATGCCAGGACCATCTGGAACTACTTGTGAAGTCAGGGATGGTAGGTCAATCATTTAGTCACAGGTTATGTAAGGAAGATGTTGATTAGTAACAATCAACAGCTAATGTGAACAAATCCCAGAAATAAAACCATTACTTTGTATCCATTCGATGGATTTCTTATTTGTGATAGCCTCATATTCAAACTACTTTAGACAATCCTTCAAAGGATAAAACATAATCTTTTTGTAATAGTATCTAGATAGAAGTTTATATACAGACTATCCAGAGTTGATTACCCCCCTAGCCCCCCCCCCCCCCCCCCCCTTTACCACAATCCAATTCTAACCACTTCTATTTTCTTCTAGGCTGGTTAACTGTTTTGGACTCTTCAAAGGCCATATACGAATGTGCAAAGAACGCTTTGGACATGCATGAAATGGAGAGCCCATTACGTCTCACAATGGACATCAGACAAAGTGTAGCTGATCAGGACATGGCCCTCATCTCATTCTACAAGCGAGCCAATGTTGAATGGGCACGTCCTTTGGAGTGCAGGCTTGAGGGTAAATTTGCTGAAAATGATAAATATATCTTGAAATAAATACTTGTATTCCTTACTTTATTTTGGTGATCTAACAGGGGATACAGCTATCGGACAAGGAGTAATACGTTTTTTCTTATCAACATGCATGGAGAAGCTGATGTCTGGTTTTTGCATCAATTTTGGTTAGTTTGTTTTTGGTTGACGATACCTGTGTTTGATCATTATATTGTATAACTTTTCATAACTTAATTAACTGTCTGGTTTTTTTTTGGGGGGGGGGGGGAAAACCTCTGTATTGTGTGGAAGTAATCTTTTTTTTTTTTCTTTTCATTTATCTTATAGCAAACTCTAATGTTACTCCACTTTTTGAGGGAGAGCCAGGCCATTACATACCATCAGCATCTCACTTTCTTGTGGAAAGTGATATGTTCCTTATGGCAGGGAGAATGGTAGGGCACTCCTTTNTATTCAGTATAATGCCTAAATAAATTTCTTCATCCAATTTCCTCAAAGTTCTCTGAAGTGGGTGAATCTGAATACAAAAAAAATTCTGACAAACCTTCACATTATCGAAGACATAAAATAAAGACTAAAAACAAATACTATGAAACTAGTCTTTTTCAGATTATTTTCTCATTCGACTGGGAGACTATCGACATAGAAATGAATGGCTCACTGGCCGAACGCACTCTGATCTTATAACCAAATTATTTTCTTAGTGCAAGAGGCGCCATCTAGCAATCATTATGTGTCAGTAACAGTGTCCCTGTCTAAAAACTTTAAGTTAAACCTACTTAAACCGCGCTTTAAGTAGGTCAAACCAGTGCGGCGCTTCTAGTGTTAATGTGTAGTGTGTGCTTTGACATGCATTTTTAATCATCCTTCTAGCTTTCTCCTGTGTGGACTTTTTAAAGTTTACCAGGCTGTTTCTGTCAAGCCTACACTAAGGCATTATATTACTTGCAGCGCCACACCCTCGCTTCATAGAATGTTACTTTTTTGTATCAATTTGCCCAGATTAGACTTGCTGTTGCCTAGACAACAGTGAACTGAACTGAAAGCCTGCTGCTGTCAGAGACGAATAATATTGAGACTAGACAAATCTGTAATTGCAATGCTTGAAATAACTTGACTTTTAAAGTAAATAATTTTACTTCTGCCAGGTCTGCACCCATGACAACAGTGATACATGTCCATGACAAATTTCAGATCACTAGCTCATACGGCTCAGCCGTGATGCCCCCTCATGTTTGTTTGAAGCTAAAAGTCATTCAGGTCCCCAGTTCAATTGCATTGGGTACTTTGGCAAGTTCAAAAGCCCATTGCAGCTCAAAAGCAAACCCTTCTGATGCAGCACTGGCGCCCCCAGTGGTGAGAGGAGGGATATGTGTAATATCACTATATGTGTAAGAGAAAAGCACCATGACATCCTGGCCGTGACTCAAAAGCGCCCCTACTGATGGAGCAAGTGGTGCCCCCAGTGGTGACAAGAGGGATATGTTTAAGATCCAGAAAGCACCGTGATCTTCTGGCCACGACTCAAGATGCTGCCCCTGGTGGTGTGAGAGGGAATATATGTGTAAACTACAACCAATCACTGAAATTATGGCTTTTGTGCTAAAAGATGACCCAACAGAAATTAACCGTTTAAAAGCTGTAGTGTCTCAGTTTGTCGTTTCCACACTTTATCACCAAACCGCTTACACATTACCACTTCCATGATGATGTTCCGTCAGGTCAACGTCTACATATGTAAGGCGTGAAAGTCCAGAAATGCAAGGTTTAAAATTTATGACTGGACATCTACAGATTAAATATTTAAAGGCTGTGATGTCTAAGTATCTGAAGCAAAGTGCAAGACAACAATGTTTAACAGCTGTAATGACTATAAACCTTGGAAATTACACTTGGCAAATATGGTTTAAGGTTAGCCTAATGATGAAATGCGTACTTCCACTTAGCAAATCTGGCAAGGACAAGTTATAGTGTGAGATTAGAAAAATAAATGTGATGTTGTGGCTGTTACTTAAAATATGGCTTGGTCAGCCTAATGAAAAAATCAGTACTTTCACTTAGCAAGTGTGGGGTTAGGGATGTCAAATGTGTTCTTTAACTTAGGAAATCTGTAAAGCAGTAAGAACATAAGAACATAAGAAATTTACAAACGAGAGGAGGCCATTCGGCCCATCAAGCTCGTTTGGGGAGAACTTAACTAATAGCTCAGAGTTGTTAAAATCTTATCTAGCTCTGATTTAAAGGAACCCATGGTTTTAGCTTCCACTACACTAGCAGGAAGACTATTCCATACTCTGACTACACGCTGTGTAAAGAAGTGTTACTCCACTTTTTGAGGGAGAGCCAGGCCATTACATACCATCAGCATCTCACTTTCTTGTGGAAAGTGATATGTTCCTTATGGCAGGGAGAATGGTAGGGCACTCCTTTCTTCATGGAGGCCCATGCCTATCTGGACTTAGCCCAGCCGTTGTGCACGTCCTACTTGGTGGTACTCCTGAAACTGCCACAGTTACACCCGAGGACTGTCCAGACCTAGACCTGAGAGGGACAATTCAGCTTGTAGGTTTTTACGTTTAAATGAGGGAACGTTTATACATTGCCCCTTGTGAGTGATGAACATAAGTCTAACCTAGACTAATCCTTTAAAATTGTTCTAGATCAAAAACTCTGCCATTGAGACATGGTCTGAGACTCTAAACTTGTCTTTTGTTACATTTTTTTATGTATGAGGAATTAGGAATTTATAGTTCTCTTTTTCTGTCTGAATTACTGTCTTATGGGTTACAGCTTCAAGGGCAATCAAAGCTGTCGGATGAAGAGAGAAAACGTGTTCAGGATCTGGCATATGCATGGGACCTCCCTCCCTTGACAGAGAACAACAGGAGATGGCTGTTTGAGAAATTATTACTCCATTCTGTGAGTGAATTGAAAAGTAAGTAAAATATTTCTATGTTACTGTTTAGTTAACTTTTTTTCATAGGTCATTGGGAGAGTGACGAGGTCAATAAAACAGCTGAGAAGGGGACTTAAAGAAACCCCTATGTGGACCCTGCTGACCCGGCGACCTGACACGGTGCCCTTACTCTTTCCACAAGAGTTGGCTGCTGTGAACCCTGAGGTAAATTTTGTGCTCCTAAAATACTGTATTCATTAATAACATTTTACTGTGTGTTGTAGAAAATGTAGTCCAAAGCAAACTATGAAGACCTGAGTCATTCTACAAAATGTAAAAAACATTGAAATTTTAATTTGGCACTTACCAAGAATTATGTATCAAATAATAAAAATACCATAAACTGTATTCATTTTTACAAATAAAATGCACAAATACTAAAAACGAGCATATTCTTGTGGACGCAACTTGTGGACCATACATCTTTACTGCAGTTTGTCTTTATAGTCTTGTAAAAATAAAACTGCTGCAAAAACTGCTTCAAAAGCCTGATTTACATATAGAAAATGATTCTGTAGATCTGAAGTGAGATGTAAATATAATAAACAGACATAATGACTAAAATACATTAGTAATTCTTTGGTAATACACATCTTCTAATTATAGATTTAGCCATTTTCATTTTGTTTGAGACAGTTTCTTCTTTTAAAATAGTCAACTATGTAGAGGTTTGGGGATCCAAGTGAACACAAAAAGCACAAAACATGGATTATTATAGAAACTGTTACTACTTTATTTCAGTTACTAAGTTATGGTGAGCAAGACATTATTTGGTTTCACAAAGTGCAGCAGTATTTTTGTAGGGTATATTTTATGGATGTTCTGTTACAGGTCCTTCTACAGCGAATTGTGTGGCCTGAAGATGAAGATGATGACTAAATGCAGAATCATAGGCTACATGAGGCATTTTATTCTAAATGGTAGGTTTGCCATTTTGCAGGAGGGGAATACCACTATGAGCTGATCAGAGCCAATATTATTGCAATGTTAAAAATATTTTATTTGGATATCTTTGAGGTTGTTAAACCTCATTTATTTCAACGCTCAATGCTTAACTAAACACTTTCTTTTTCTTCACAGCAACACCAAGTGAGCTGACAAATCTCCTCCTAAAATTCTGGACTGGATGGGAGATTGTGCCAAAAAGTCTCACAGTGGAGCTAGTAGATGGCAGACATCCAACTGCTGCCACCTGCTATGAGACCTTGCGCATTCCATACCACTACAAGGACTATTTAACTTTTAAGGAAGACCTCATTGCCTGCTCTGAAACCTGCCACTCAGGGTTTGGACTCATTTGAGTCATTCCCATAATGCAAGGTAGTGGTGTAGAAGTCTCTGTTCAAGATTTTGGAAAATAAATGTTCACATCTACTGGGCCTCTCTGCTATTTACTCTGTGCAGGCAACATCGGTTCTTGGTTCAGTTCTCGGTTGAAAATCCTTTTAAGTAGTTCTGAAAACTGTTAAAGATAATGTCTTGCATGTAAGATGTCAGTGACAAGGTAAACTTTCATCTTGATCAAAATAAAGGACAAGATTGACTTACTGTGCTGTTTTAATTTTGAAACATTCCTACCATCAGCCTTCAGTCAAATATTGTTTTAAAACAACATTCAAACGAACAAGCAGTTTCTATTTAGAATTTTTCTGAGTGAATCAACATTTGTAATTTCCCTCTAATTCTTCAGTATTTACATTACGAAGCTTTGCTTAAAAATTGTTACTTATAGCGAAGTTTAGTTTGAAACAGTTGGTGAACCCTGTGGAACCTCATTTCTACACAATTTGGTCATGAAATAGGATCTGATCCTCAAAGTCACAACAATAATCAGAACTGCTTAAAGTGAAACCACGCAATTATGTTATTGAAAACACCATGGAAATTCTTTCAGTTGGTTTAGTTTAAGCACACTGATTGTCCAGATGTCCGTGATGAAGATCAGATTACATTTCAAGACCAAATTGTGCAGAAATCCATTCAATTCAACAAGATTCACAAACTTTTTCTTGCAACTGTATGTAGCTTTTCTATTTGTTGGGTGGATTCAGATCTGAGTTATCTGTTCACCTTGAAATGAGACACACTGACACAGATTTACTTGCAAGGGTAGCCACTTTCTGCAGAGTGAACTACAAGGGTTGGCTTCCTTTACACCTTTATTTATACCAGAGTTTTGCTACAGATCAGGTTACACATAGGGGTGTTAATTATTAGAGAGAAACTGATTGGAGAAACATGGGGCAGGAAACACTAGTTGAAGAGTTCAGTTTGGGATCAATTTGTTCTAATAGATTGCAATAACATGAGAAGATTAGAAATAAAAGTATTTACATTGTATTTACATTTCTGTTGCTCCCCAACACTATTCTAAATGAACTGCTGACAAAACTGAACAGCCATGATGTAGACGTCAGCACCAAAGGACTGGGATGCCGCTCTTGGATTAACAACGCCCTGTAAAGTTGTCATTTGTTCTTCTGTGAATGGGGAGTCAGTGTTCGGAACAACAATGCTTGAATGGTTATGGCAAGCTAGGCCACTGTCCTCCCAGTCAATGTCTGGAATCTGGAAGCCCTGCAACGAACAAACAAAATTAGGAAAGAATAATTGTATATAGGAATCAATGAGTACTAAAAATGTGCACCTTTACCTGTGTGTTTTCTGGAACAGGAACAGGGTGATATCTGTGACCCAACTCCCACAGCTTGTTGGGACTCATGTTGTTTTCTGTTCGCAATGGATGGTTGTCCCATCCACTGCAAAATGTATTCAAATCATCCTCCAGTCGAGGAAGAAAGACATAATGGCAGCAAAAGAGGTGTGCAGCATTTGAAATGTCCAGAAGGCCCTCTTCCTCAAGGTTGTGAAGAACATCGTAGTAGATGCATGTAACTGCCACCCAGAGATCTCTCCACAGTCGCTCTATTCTGAAATAATATATAAAAAATATTAAATTAGGTATGGCCTTTCTTTGTGTGTATGAGA